CCCAGATCTGTTTCTGGAGGTTAGTAGTCGAGTTACGAGGGCGTAACACTTTTAAGGGGGGTAGAATGCGATAGAGTTTCGCGCGCATCTTTTCCCAACCCTCTAAGTTAGCAATAGGCTGTGTCTAGTTAGAATGTTTAGCATGTGCATGAAATTAATTAACTAAAAGCTATTTTCAAAGAAGAAATTCTTTTACTTTCCTCATCACTCTGCATAGTTTCGGGTCGAAACTTCTTTTAAGGGGGGTAGACTGTAATACCCCGTATTTTTGAAAGGCATTTTCTAAATTAAAGAGTATTTAGTCTCGTATTTTCAACGTATTTTCTAACTTAAGAGTATTTCAGTTTTGGAGCCAAAATGATATTTGAATTTTGGCGCCTAAATCATTTATTTTAATTAAATGATAAACTAAAAATATTATAAATAGTATTTTGATTAAATAAATAATAAAACAAAACTATATTAATTAATAAAATTAGAGGCATTTTTCGAATTTAAAAATCTGATTTTTGTAAATATATTTTCGGATTTTCCCAATAAAATCCAATTTTACTTAATATCTTGCTAAACTAATTATTTTCATGAAATGAAATTAATTTCCTAAAACTAAATAAATATCATTTTCGAATTTTTATAATTTAAAAATCTGATTTTACTCTAAGTAAAAGTATTTTCATAAAATAAAATTAATTCCTAAACTAATGAAGCATATTTTCGGATTTTTATACATTAAAAATCTGATTTTTATTAATTATTTGCTAAATTAATTATTTTTATGAAATAAAATGATTTCCAAAATTTATCAAATAATATTTTAAACTTTATATAATAAAAATCTGATTTTTATACCTTAATGTAGTCCAAATTCGGCCACCCTAATAATCTAGCAAGAAAAATTGATTTTATTCTTTCAAATACCTATAAACTTATTAATTTTTGACAAATAAATTATTTTATAAAACCCCTAAACTAACATGATAGGTCCGAAAATATTGAGTAATATTTTGCTCAATATTTTCGGCCATTCACGGTTTTTCTACAAAGATTTTAAATTATTTTATTAAAAATAAAATCTCTTAAATTCCTTTACTTCCATTCTTAAACCTAAGAATATTTTATTCTATGTCATCCTTGCACTCCAAGCTTAAAAATTACCAATGGAATTTCATGATCAAAAACTTCCATAAATTATAAACCCTAAAATGCCATAAACCCATCCCCTAAACACCTATAAATACCCCTTTCATACACCCCAAAAATCACACCAAAAACCTCAAGAATTCTCTTCTTCTTTCCCCCTCTTTCTCACGGTTTTCCTCCTCTCCCTCCTTCCATTTTTCCGGCCACCGGCGACCACCCTCACCGGCGACCACCTGTTGCCGCCAGCAGCCACTAGCCGCCACTCTAGCCGGCCACAGCCACCCTAGCTCCTCCCTTGCATTGGTTCCTCCACCATCCTTTAATCCTTCCTTCCTCTTAATCTTATTTATATTACTAATCATTTTCCTAAATATTATTTCTTACACAAATTAATTTTATAAAAACAGAAAATTCTTTACATTATATATAAACAGAAAATTATTTTATATAATGATAATTAATTCATGCACATATAGGGTAGTTTAATTAAGTTGTTGCGTTTATTTGATAGCCTTATACTAATTAAGGTTATAACTATGTGTAGAGTGTTCGTGATTTAGAGAAGTAGTTGTGAAATCGCTCGTGATTGATCAAGGTACGTTATGTGGTTTGATACCTTCGAAAGTTGATTGTGAAACTACATTTTTATGATCGTATGAAATTATAATGTGTTCCGTATGTTATTTTAATTGTGAAACTATAATTTATGTTCCGTATAAAACTATGATTTATTATGAAACTATAAATTATTATGTTCCGTATCAAATCATATTTTATTACATTCCTTATGAAATCATGTTTTATGTTTCGTATGAATTTTATGTTCCGTATTAAATTATGAAATTATGTCGGATTGAATTAAATGATTTGGATTTAAATCAAAAGGACCTTAAATTGTGATTGGAAATTATTGGAAATGATTTGCAAGGTTGTTGTTATGTAAGTGTGATGGATTTTTAAAGACGAGTTTTTAAATAAATCAATCGATATGTTGAATCCCACTTAGGGAATGGTTTAGAGAAGACTATGGACTTTGCATGACCTAGTCTTTCCTCAAGTTTGGCCTTTGATTATAAAGTAAACCACTTAGGGGGTGTGCACACTTAGTGAGGAATTGGTTTGGTATGAATCGATTGAGTTTTACTTGAATTAAAAGAATTGGATTGAGAAAGTTCTATTTGAATACGGCATTGGTATTTCTTATTAATTAAACGTAAATGATTTAAATTACGTTTTACTTATCTTACACATGACTTACTTAGCATACTTGCTAATACGTGCTTTTGTTTTGGCTTTGCCCTGTTTATCCTTTATGGTAAACAGGTGAATTTTTCAGGTGGAAATTGATTGATGCATACGGGAGTCCACGGGAAATTTCACCTAGCTAGGAAAAGTTTGAGTCATTTTTTGTGTCACGAATTATGAACGAATTTTTATTATGGTTATTTAATAATGAATAAAGTTTTCCGCTGCAAAAGTATTTTGTATAAGCCTTGCGTTATACGCGGCGGTAATACGCCCAAGCCTATCTCTACGGTATTTATACGTATTTTTCTACAATTTACGTAGAGAGAGATTTGGGGGTGTTACAATAGCCACCGGTGAGATTGGCTTAGGCAATAAAGGCAGCTCTAACATGAGATTTCTCAACCACTCAGCTTCCTTACTAGATAAGGCAAGAGCTATAAACTCCGCTGCCATAGTGGAATCGGCAATGCAAGTTTGTTTCTTGGAAGACCATGAAATGGCACCTCCCCCAAACAAAAACACCCAACCACGTACAGAAGAGTCATCCTCTTTGTAAGTGATCCAACTTGCATCCGAATATCCTTCTAAAACCGAAGGAAATCCACTATAAGACAAACCATAGTCCAATGTACCTTTAAGGTACCTCAAGACCCTCCGAACTGCAAACCAATGCTGTGCACCTGGGTTACTAGTAAATCTACTTAGTTTTTCCACAGCCAATGCAATATCTGGTCTTGTACTTGTCATGGCATACATCAAGGATCCAATTATCCTTGAATACTCCAATTGGGAAACCGTTTTCCCCAAATTCTTAACCAATTTTACATTAGGTTCCATGGGGGTATTCACGGGATACTTATCAAACATATTGAACCGTTTGATCATTTTCTCAATGTAATGAGATTGACTTAACATAAACCTTCCATTATCCCTAATTATCTTGATGCCCAAAATGACATCTGCCTCCCCCAAATCCTTCATCTGAAAAGACGAGGATAAGAATTCCTTGGTCAATTCTACTTGTTGTAGACTTGTACCAAAGATAAGCATATCATCAACATATAGACAAATGATGACACCATGACCTTTGTCATCAAATTTGCTATAAATAAACTTATCAGCTTGATTCACCTTGAATCCAAAAGACAAAATCGTGTCATCAAACTTTCGATGCCACTGTTTTGGTGCTTGTTTAAGTCCATACAATGACTTAACCAATTTACACACCTTCTTTTCTTGTCCTTCCAAAACAAACCCTTCGGGTTGTTTCATATACACTTCTTCCTCTAGATCTCCATAAAGGAATGCCGTTTTGACATCCATTTGATGGATTACTAGATTATATACCGAAGCCATTGCAATTAATAACCTTATTGAGGTGATTCTTGCAACCGGTGCATAGGTGTCAAAATAATCAACACCATGCTTTTGCCTAAAGCCTTGGATAACCAATCTAGCTTTAAATTTCACTATGGAGCCATCCGGTCTCCTTTTCCTAGTGAAAATCCACTTGCAACCAAGAGGTTTGCAACCGGGAGGTAAATCCTCTATGACCCAAGTGTCATTTCCCATGATGGAGTCCATCTCATCATTTATAGCTTCTTTCCAAAATGCACTATCTTGGGAAGATATGGCCTCGCTATAAGTTTTTGGGTCACTATCCACATTAAAACAATATGGAGTAGTGGAACTAAGGACATCCCTAGATCCTTCAACCAAATAAATTATGAAGTCATCTAGAGGATTCCTAATTTTCCTTTGTCTTTTACTTCTTCTAACATGAGGAGTCTCATCCTCATTATTAGATGAACCTTCATGAGAAACATGTTGATTATCATAATCAACAATTTCCTTTCCTTTGGTACTTATTTGTAGATCCTTAGGTCTACTCATTGATGAAAATCGATTTTCATCAAATATTGCATCTCTTGACTCAATTATCGAATGTTTCGAAATAAAGTCACTTTGTTCTATAACAGAGAACCTATAGGTTTTGCTATGCTCAGCATAACCTATAAAAATACATTCCAAGCCCCTTTCACCGAGCTTTCTCTTTTTGTTGCCGGGCACTCTTACAACTGCCCTACAACCCCAAACCTTGAGATACTTCAAGTTTGGTTTCCTTTTGTACCAAAGTTCATAAGGAGTGGATTCTTTTCCCTTAGTGGGAACACGGTTAAGTATGTGACAAGCCGTCAACATAGCTTCACCTCAAAACCCTTCACTCAAACCGGAGTAAGAGAGCATGGAATTAACCATTTCTTGAAGAGTTCTGTTCTTCCTTTCAGCTACACCATTTGATTGTGGTGCATAACCAGCTATAGTCTCATGAATAATACCCAAAGATTGGAAATACGCAGGATCATAATATTCTCCTCCCTTATCGGTTCTCAATTTCTTAATAAAAGACTCTACTTGCACTTCAACCTCTTTCTTATAAATATCAAATTTAACCAAGGCTTCATCTTTGGAATATAAAAGATACACATAGCAAAATCTTGAAAAATCATCAATAAACGTAACTATGTATCTTTTATTTCCCAAATAAGGTGTACTATAAAAGTCACACAAATCACTATGAACCAATTCTAAGATCTTAGAACATCTTTCAACTTTCTTGAAAGGAGTTCTAGTGATCTTATTAAGCATGCAAGTAGTACATTTATCAAGAGCAATATCACATGGAGGAATAAGTTCTAATTTAGACATAAAAGACAACTTATTGTAATTCACATGACCTAATCTAGAATGCCATAAAGAAAACAATGCAAATTCATACTATTGTCATTACCAACATTAAAACAAACATCATCCAACATTACAGACCTCTCTCTTAAAGAGAGTTTAAACAAACCATGAGACAAATAACAATGTCCAACAAAAGTGCTACCCTTAGTTATAATACATCTATCTGCTTCAAAAACTAGTCTAAATCCAAGTCTATTCAGGGTTGGGCCTGATACAAGATTTCTAGAAATACTAGGAGCATATAATACATCCCTAAGGATGATACTATTGCCCGAACTAAACATCAGCTCAACTTGTCCTCTTCCTTGGACCATGATGGTAGAGTTGTTTCCCATAAAGAGCTCTTCTCCATCACCAACCTTGTGAAAGGTTTTGAACCAATGCTTCACCTTGCATACATGCCTTGAAGCCCCTGAATCCATCCACCATGAGTCATCATCCTGCACCATAAAAATGTTAGGATCCATTGCATTTAAATCCATACCGGAATTAAATTCAACCTCATGTAATAAATTACCTTTGGTGGGTTGGTCCTTGCTCTTAGAAGCTTGACCATCCTTGGATTTCTCCATTTTCTTCTTGAAAATGTAGCAGTCCTTCTTGCGATGTCCAGTCTTACCGCACTCCCAACAAGCATACTTGTTGTTGTCCTTTTGTTTCTTGGACTTGCCCATAGAGGAATTAAACTTCTTCCTCTTACCACTAGTTGAAGCACTAGATTTTCTTTCCTCCACCACATTGATGTGGAAGAGCTAGGATTTCCATCCTTAGCCTTCTCCATGGACCTTATCCCCTCTTCAATTTGAAGATGGGTAGCCAAATTGGACAAAGATATGTCCTCCTTTTTGTGTTTTAAGTCATGCTTAACATCTTTCCAACTATTGGGCAGCTTATAATTAATACTCGAAACAACAAACAATTCATCAACATTGATACCATGTTGTTTCAAGTTACTATAAATACGTTGTATCTCATGAAATTGGTCCATAATCGATCTACCTTCAACAAACTTAAAATCATTAAAATTACTTACTAGGAATTTCTTGCTAGAATCATCCTCCGCCATATACTTGCTTTCTAACGATTCCCATAGCTCCTTAGCAGACTCGACATGTTGATACACATCGAACAAATCATCCTCCATCCCATTGAGAATATGTCCCCGACATATAAAGTCATCATTATCCCACTTAGATTTCTCACGCACATCCTCCATTGTTTCATTCTCATGTTCTACCGATCTAGGAGTGCTAATCACATAGGCAACCTTCAACGATGTAAGAAGAAAATACATCTTCTTCTTCTTCCATCGTCGAAATTCCACACCGTCAAACTTCTTGAGTTTGACAAAGTTTGTGGTAAGTTCTTTCACACTAGACATGTTGTTCAAAAAATTATCACTTTAGATTGTTAGGGTTTAACTACTTTGATTCTACACAACTAGAATCAAAAAACAATGGTGGACAAACCCTCGAATGTGTATAAAATTCAATTAAATACACAACACCAAATACTTAAAGTATTATCACAAACCAAGCACTAAATTAACAATATAATTCAGAAATTACAACAAATTAACACTAATGTAAAAGGTTCTTTACTTGCCTCTCTCCAAGCCGATATCCACCAAGAACATGAGAAAAACAATGACCACGTGAGTCTTCTATACCGGATACTTGACTAAGGCGTGTATACACTTTCCTCAAGTGATAATTTCCCCCACCACGGTGCTTGGGTTGAAACCGGAAACTCACTTTGAGATACAATAGTCAACACCACACTCTAAGCACAAAGATGTGTGATAAGATGAACAAATTCTCAATCAATAAACTTAATAATGGAGAATTAATGAAGAGTTTGCAAGATTCTTCAATTAAAAGTGTAGAGAAGAGAGAGTTTTTCAGAGAGGAATCTGTTTTTCTGTATCTCAAAACAAAACATCGAAAACGATATAAAGGAAATAACCGTAAAAACCGAAGACGAGCGAGGAGGCGCGGGCGCGCCACCACAGCAGCGCGGGCGCACCACCATAGGGCGCGGGCGCGCCATTTGCTCGCGCGAGCGCTCCTACTCGTTCTTCCAAAAATCCAACTTTTCCAGAAACCTGACGCGATTTTGTCGCGGTTTAGGCGCAGGTCGCGCCAAACCATGGCGCGGGCGCGCCTCCTAAACTTTACAGATTTTCCAGAAACTCAGCGCGATTTTGTCGCGCTTTTGGAGCGGTCCGCGCTTGTCTTTCACAAGCGCGCTAACAAGTGGAGCGATCTCTCCACTACAACACTCTAAATTATCCAACAAGCTGTTGGCTGAACAGAACCGGCTGGTCATCGAGAATGAGCGTGACTTCAAAGCACGCATGAAGATGGCATGGTCCATGATCCACCCGGACACCGACTATGCTTTCTTCGACTTGAGGTACAAATACGCAACAGAGGTATTTGATGCTCAAGTACTCGGGCTTTAGCAGCCGGCGCCCTTCGAGGAATGGGCCGGCATAGGGGATGAACAAGCGGAAGATGAGGTTCCGGGTGGGGCAAGAGAAGCCCAACCCCAGCAGACCCAAGATGCCCCTAATGCCGGTCAGGGCCAGCAGCCGGAACAACAGCAGCAACAGCAGCAGCAGCTTAAAATTTTATAAACTCCTACTTTCATCCGGCCTGCGAGCCGTGTAATCTTGTATCACTTTCTCCGGACAGGGGTCCGGCTAACATTTTAACTTGAAATTTATATATATATACCGACTGTGTCGGTTTACTTTGCCATTTTGTTTCAATTTTCAATTTTCTGCAATTTTCCTTGAATGAATTTTTTGTTGCAATTTGAATTGATATATGCCGGATGCATTAGCCTTGTCTGCCCCTGGATGGTTGTTTGCTTAATAGTTAGAAACTTAAAGCAAGCAGCCGTCCATAAGCATCCAGATGAATATATATGCGGTCTGTGACCGTTTCAAAAAAGAATTGAACCCAAGTCGAATCGGCCGGCTGTGCCGGCTAAATCAAACTTAGGATACGCGCTCAACCAGCTGGGGTTTTACCCCTAAGGTATCCGACAATGTCGTTGGTTGGCATACAGGCGGCTTGTGGCCGGACGTATGCATTTTAAACAAGTGCGGATTAATGATAATGATAATGAAATGGTAGCCGGCTGTATTGCTTTTCGGCAAAAGCCGGCTGAAGACCAAGATTTAATTCACCGCCTGTGTTGTGTTGGGGGAATAACCGGGTGTCCCTTGATTTTAACAAGGTTTTGAATTTGTTTATGGGAGCTGGAGCCGGCTGTAGTGCTTTTTGGCAAAAGCCGGCTGCAGATCAAGATTTAATTCACTGTCTGTATTACCTTGGGTCAATAACCGGGTGTATCTTGATTTCGATAGGTCATTCAAACGGCCATGGGTTATCTTTAACCTAACTGGTTAAAGCCGTTTGAGTCTATGACCTGTAGAACAATGTACCACCCGGAAGGGAGATGTTCTCTTCGACAAATTCACCCAAATGGGCGTCGCCGGATGCCTGCTCATGGTTAGAGCAGACGATTTAAAATATGTTGGCCTTTGGCCTTTTAAATAACTAAGTTAGGTACTTAGCCTTCTACTCATTTTGAGCAAACGGGTGTCCGGATGTGCATTGCATAGGTGGGACTTGGGAGATGCCCGGGTGTGCATTGCACATGGGACTTAGAAGTTGCCCGGTTGTGCATTGCACATGGGACTTTATACAAAAAACAATTTGAAATAAAGTAACTCTTTCATTAATATACTATATTTACAAAATATTTACAAATCCTTAGAAGTAGTACTTTTTCAAGTTGTCTACATTCCAGGTTTTGGCCAGCTGCCTGCCGTCTGGTGTTTCCAGGCGGTAGGTGCCGCCTCTGACTTCTTCAAAAATCCGGTAGGGGCCCTCCCAATTAGGGGTTAGCTTCCCTTGCTCATTTGCCCTATCGGTTGCCTCCATTTTTCGTAGCACAAAGTCCCCCACTTTGAGGGGCCGTTTGTGTACTCTTTTGTTGTAGGCCCTCGTCATTCTCAGACGGTATATCTCATGACGCAAGGCGGCATTTCCCCTGCGCTCCGGGAGTGAGTCCAATGCAAGACGCATGGCCTCCCAATTAGCCTCTTCATCATAGAGCATGACTCGGAGTGTTGGCTCATAAAGTTCAATTGGCAGGACGACTTCAGTGCCGTATGTCATGAGAAACGGGGTTTCACCGGTTGCCCCTTTTTCAGTTGTTCTGATGGCCCAAAGGACGTAAGGTAACTCATCCGCCCAAAGACCGCCAGCTCTTTCAATCTTCTTTTTTATGCCGTCTAAGATGAGCTTGTTGAAGGCTTCAACTTGTCCGTTTGCCTGGGGGCGGCCAACGGATGCAAAACAATGTGAGATCCCCAGATCTCCCAACCAACTCTTGAGGGTAGGCGTTTCAAACTGAGGACCGTTGTTAAAGACCATAGACATAGGAACCCCAAACCGGGTGATGATGTTTCTCCAAATGAAGGAGATGACATCCTTTGTCTTAATGCCCTTGACCGCCTCTGCCTCAACCCACTTGGTGAAGGAATCTACAGCCACTAGAATGTATCTTCTTCCGTCTGATGCAGGCGTATAAGGACCTAAGTTGTCCATGCCCCATTTTGCAAATGGAATCGGGCTGCAGATGGCCGTCAGATCTGTTGCCGGACGGTGTATGAGCCGGCCAAACCTCTGGCACTTGTCACATTTTTTCACCAATTCCATGGCGTCAGCCTCAAGAGTGGGCCAAAAGTAGCCTTGCCGCCTGGCCCTCTTTGCTAGAGTTCTGCCGCCTATATGTGATGCACAAAAACCCGCATGCAGATCCTCTAATACCTCTTTTCCCCTTTCAGGGGTAACACACTTCAGCAACGGCTAGAGGTAACCCTTTCTGAAGAGTTCCCCCTTGTACATTTCGAAGCTCAGGTAGATCCCGGATGGGATCCATACAGGTAGAGCTTCGGTCCAGAATTCCAATGGGATCATGTTCAATGCTTCTTTTTTCCATGACCTCCCAAAAGACTAACCTAGGCGTATCACATGTGGCGGATGAGGCCAGTTTGGACAATGCATCCGCCTGATTGTTTTCTGACCGGGGCACCTGACTTAGATGGAATTCATCAAGTGTCGCAGCCTCATCTTTGACCGCCTGCAGATACTTGATCATTGCCGGATGGGTGGCCTCATAATCGTCATTGAATTGGCTAACAATCAATTGAGAATCTGAGCAGGCGTCAACTTTCCTTGCCCCTGCCGCCTTACACATGCGTATACCGGCTAGCAGGGCCTCATAATCCGCCTCATTATTGGAGGCCTGGAACTTGAACCGTAGTGCGTATTCATATTTGTCCCCTTACGGAGATATGCAAATTACGCCTGCACCACAGCCGTTCATAATAGAGCTCCCGTCTACATATAACTTCCAAACCTGATCAACATTTTCCGGCTGTACCGGTCTTGTCATTTCAACAACGAAGTCGGCGAACGCCTGACCCTTCACTGCCTTTCTAGGCTCGAAAGTTATTTCCAGACTTTGCATTTCAATAGCCCACTTGAGCATTCTGCCGGACGACTCCAGGGTTGTCATTGGCCGCTTGAGGGGTTGATCTGTGTAGACCACCACCGGGTGTGCCAAGAAGTATGGTTTCAGCTTCTTGACTGCCATGAAAAGAGCAAGGCCAAATTTTTCAACCAGGGGGTACCGCAGCTCAGCATTTCGAAGTACATGGCTAATGAAATAGACCGGGAGCTGTATGCCGTCTCTTTCAGCTAAGAGAACGGCACTGAGGGCATGATCTGAGACGGCCAAGTACATGTAGAGAACCTCTCCTGTTAGAGGGCAAACTAGCCGTGGCAAAGAGTGGAGGTGCTCCTTTAACTTCTGG